TGCTTGAAATGCGGAATTGTCACGATCGTTTCCAAACACTATCTTATACTGATGATGTACTGATTATGTATAGAATGGAGGTTAATACTTACTTTAAAATATAAATTGTAATAAATTTTGATTATTGTGTCTTGTATATTAAATTATATCTTTAAATGTTTCATACGATAATATGTGTACAATTTAAATGTTAGAACATTTGAAATCACATGTGCGCAAAATGTATTTACACTGTTTTAAAAAGATTGGTACTTACTTTATTTCAAGTGTGTAATGACAGTCGATGATCAAGTTTTGAAATCTGACAATACGTAACAGTGTAATTATGAAACACAATCAAAAAATTTAATTATTTATTTCACAAAACAACGTACGCTTGTATTTTGTCCCGGCATCGACACGTGACTATTTCACAATGTTGTTTTGAAAAAGTGCGCGACAATTCAAATACGAGGAATCCGATTATTACGTAAATGCATACTTTTCAAACTAGAAATATTTACACCAAACAGAAATGTATGATTCAGTGTAATATAAAATAAAAAATAAATATAGAAAATAAATTGCACTTTATTTCCTTATTGCACCTCATACTCTACATTGTAAGTGGCATTTGGTTCATTTACAACTCACGTATCGTAAAATGATACATAAATTTAAAAGACCAAACAGTTTATAAAACTGCATTAAGCAGAAGTACATAAGCCTCGGATTGTTTTTTACGATATGTTTTCCACTTTTTTTTTACCGTAACCGTTAATGTGTATTACACATAATATATAAATATTCATCTATCTGATTTTATTTTAATACATGTACATTATTTAATCACATGTATAGTTTACGACCTAAATGTGCAAAAGCATTTTTGGGAATCGTAAAACAAAAAGGAATTAATTAAAAATGTATAAATATAATAAAAAATTCCCTGTGTTTTAATATCAGTGCGTTTTTAAAACACATAAAAAATTGGTGCTGCCGCTACTTCTATTGTATAATGTTTAAATAGCTGAGTCGCATTTGTTTGTCGCAATAACGTAAATAATGTTCAAGTTCATTGTTTTCTATGTAGTCACATTAATAGCACAAGATTATCACAAACTCGAATAACAAAACAATAACAATAATTATATGTGAATTTTAACGTGTTCCATTAACACGTTTTTGTCATTAAAATCTTCTCCACAGATACCACAGACCAACTCTTCTCCATCATCACTTTCATGTTGATGGTACTGTACAACTTGTATTACAGCTGTTTGGGATGTCCCATCTTGCATTAATGTATCTTGCCCAATTTCATGGGGATCTTTCATACTTTGATCTTCTCTAGTTGAATGATGAGTTACCATATCCATTGGTAAATCGCTACTATTTATTTGTGCAATTTGACTGGAAAAGTTTTCATGGCCCTGAGGATTTGGTAGTGTTAAAACAGGTAATGATTCATTCTGTTTTGATATTAAGTGCAAAGTATTGCTTTGTTTTGATGTCTGTATTAAATGCATTGTAGTCATTTCATTATGACTGGTTGTAGGATGAAGTGCACTTCCTTCAGATTCAGTAGTGACAATCTGAGTTGTATTGTTTTGTTTATCTATAGCAATCATATTTAAAGATTCTCTATGACTATGGTCAGTCTGCGAAATGTGCATATTTTCATCTTGTTTCTCATCAACTATTAATTGTACGCTATCAGATTTGAGTTCTGATATTGCGATATAATTTTCATTACGTTTGTCCGTAGTTACTACAAGGAAGGTACTATTTTGCTTATCGTTTAAAATCTGCTGATCGTCCGACTTATCTGTTTCTGTGATAGATAAAAGTGCTTCATTCTGTTCTGCTTTAGAAATCATTCTATTTCCAGCTGCTTGCTTTCCTTGTAAGGTAGTGCTTGGAGATGTTTTTGATTTTTTCTTAGTTGGCTTGGGTTTTGGGGCATTATTGTTTGTCTTGGCTTTAGCTTCTGCTATCATTTGATCAGAATGTTTAACAATATGTGCACATAATTCATCTCGATCTTGATTTAACGCACCGCATATAGGGCATGGAAAAGGTGGTCCAGTTACTTCAGTTTCGTTCTTTCCTGCTGCGTGAACCCATCGAACATGTTCTCTCAGAACAACTTTTTGATTAAATGCTCTTGAGCACAGAGGACAAACGTGTGGTCTTTCTCCTGTGTGAATGCGTTCGTGTTTTCTTAGAGTTCCACCATCTCTAAATGCTTTCCAACAAAATTTGCAACCATATGGTCTTTCTCCAGTGTGTGTTCGATGATGGATTAAGTACCCCTGTCTAGATGAAAATGTTTTGGAACATGTATCACAATGAAAATGTGCAGGGCTTCCAGCATGAGTTCTACCATGTTCCCAAAGCCCCTGACGAGATACAAAGCTTTTACCACACTCTGTACAAGTAAATGGAGAATCACCGGGATGTGCAGATAATCTGTGTTCATCTAATTGATTTTGTTTTTCAAATTGAGAACCACAAACCTCGCAGGAATGTGTTTTCTTTCTATGAATCCACTGATGTCTGAACATTTTTTGCTTAGTAGTAAACTTTTTACCACATTCAGAACATGCATGCTTACCCCACTTATTGTTAGGTGTACCTTGCTCTATATTATTCTGCATCATCTTTTTAGCACAAGTTGTTTGATGGGTAGCTAAGTGATTTCCATCTTGGAACTGTTTATCACAGTACTCACATTCGATTGGCATATTCCAATTTTTAGAGGCATGTATTTTTTCATGAGACACCAATGCTGTTGCTCGAGAAAAACTAATACCGCAATGTCTGCAAGTGTGCTGCTTTGTACCATTTGTTTCAATTTCTGAATAATTCCTTCTATTTTCACTGTTATAAGATAAAGTTTCAACTTTCACCATTGCATCTGTGTTACTAAAAGAATTCAATGAAAGATTGTACTGCTGACTGACTTGATTGTTTATGTTGCTCTGTTGAGTGTATTCAAATTGTGCTACTTCTCCATTTGGCATTACAGTGAATTCATGTAATGTATCTATTTTTTCCTGAGGATTAGAAATTGTGTTAACTGCTGATTGTTCATTGTGAAAACTGTAAGTTGGAACTGTCCATTGGACAGTGTCGTAAGTTTGTACAGTCTGCACTGAAGAAGATGGCACTTGATTGTTTTGGGTCTCTGTTACATCTTCAGGCCATTTTCTAAATGTTTCCTCAGATTGTTGCGAGACATTATTACCCTGTGACTGCATAATGGCACGACCAGCTACATAAGTATGAATTTTCATGTGATTAGATAAACTAGAAGGCCTCTGAAAGTCTGCCCCACATATCGTACACTTGTGAGGCCTTTCTACTTGGTGGACTTCCAACATATGACATCTTAAGCTACTCTTAGAACGAAACAGATTGCCGCAAGTTCTGCACGCATGTGGTCGATCTACCTGATGACAAACCATGTGATTATTTAAATCCATTTTCCTTTCAAATCTTTCTCCACAGGTCATACAGGACAATTTATTAGTCGTACATGTAGCATGATGCTTGGCCATTTCAGCCTGTGAAAAAAGATTTACACAATTAGGACAAGACACTTTCTTATCCTCGAAACAAGGATACATTCCACCGAGTTGTCGCAATGCTTCCACAGCCATAGACTCGTCATCTCCTGAAGTATATTGTTGCTGTTCTTCTTGTTTAATATATATGGGATATACCACACGATTCTCATCTTCCTCGTCAGAATGTTCAGCTAAAATTTCAACTGCAACCTGTGCCTCTGTAATACCAGCGTTCACATCTGTAACGGACACTTCGGTGAGCCCTTCTTGAAGGACACACTCATCAACAGGTTCACATATCTCCTCATGAGATATAATGTTATCTTGTATACCATCATGTACCCCAGAAAGAGGAAATGTAACATATTGCTCGTTTTCATGGGTTTCCATTTTGTAGTATTTTATACAAAACACTGGAAATTAATGGCAAGTAAAACATTCATGGACCTAGTTTCACCTCATGTTAAGTTAGGTCCTGTCATCACTGATAATGCAGCGGTACTCGTCGATTTGTGTAAATACATTAGAAACTGTTGTGCTATTCACATTCCATTATTAAAGTTATATACATCGTATATAATTATTAAGAAATTCAGCGCGTGTGTTTGCTCTTTCGCACTGTAATCCAATATCGTACACTATCAAATATTATCCTTTATCAACTACAAACGAAACTGCATGATAGAAACTTTATGCTCCTTAAATTACTTGATACAACAGCATGTCTATGAAATTTGTTTTACATGCGATAACTGAACTATTATACAAATTTGTAAAGTCACCACCGTTCGAACGATAGTATAACAAGGTTATTTGCACAGAGTGCAGCAAATCGTGCGCCACCTGAAGTTGTCGGTGTGCTTTGCGCAATGTCCAAGTTAAAATTTTCGATGCCTCAAAGAATTCGACCGATCAAAACTTACAAACATTCAAATATTTGCTATAAAACAATATCGTACTTGTACGGTTGTCATAGTTACGTTTCAATTCAAATCTACTTTTAAATAAGACCGATTCCCCTAGCAGGTTATTCACTTCTCTTACCTGATATTCTTCTCTGTTTTAGCACGCGAACCACTATCACACACGCATTAAAAACTATAAATTGATACTTTATTACTCATACAATTGTATTACAAGTGTACATTAACTACATTGTAAGATTTTTTATGCTCGTTTCATTGTTTAAATATCTTGAAATAGGCGTACTTGTAAGTAAAAGAAACTTTTGAGTATACCGCACAAGAGAGGGACTACGTGAATCAAATTTTCGAAAACATTTCAAATAGACTTACGGCACATTGGAGTAAACTTTTGCGGTATTATTTTGAAATCGGAAAATTGTTTCGCATTGCTTAAAAATTCTATCGAAATAATAGAATGTCACAAAAATTCATTTAGAGCATGGAATTAGGTAGATTATAAAATTATTTCGTTAATTAAATGTATAGACCATTTAAATTTTTTTTTAATAATTTTATTTATCAAGTTCCCTTTTTGGAGGTAAAAAATCTCGCTGGTAATTTTTATAAACATCTCGGATGACATTGCAATTTAATAATAAGAATTTTATTCGAATTTAAAAATTTGCGTCCCAGTTGGAAAAATCGGATGGTGCTGCTTTGTAATCCGGTGGCAACCTGTCGAAATTTCTCCGATCGAGAGGCCCTTTCACCTGTAAATAATTAAATGAATACGACAAGAAATCTTATTAAATCGCACGTTCCTCTTAGGCAAACCGTATGCGAACAAAATTTGAAAACAATATCTGATTTACCGTCGGTACAATAGGCGATGGCATTCTTTGACTTTGCAAGTCTCGCCAGTTGAAACCATGGAACCATCTGCGACGAATACGATAATTTAATAATAAATAATTACAAGGACGCTTTTCTTTCTAACTCGCGTACCTGTGATTGCGGATATCGGCGACACCATTTCGCAAACATCCGAGTCTTTTAATAGGATCATTTTGCAACAGAGATGTAATAAATTGCTTTGCTGGCGTTCTCAGAGTAGACGGCAAAAGCGAATCATTGATACCTAGAAGAATTTGGTTGTATATCTCCATGTCGTTGACATTTTCGAATGGTGTTCGATTCAGAAGTAGTTCGTACGTGAAGATTCCCAACGCCCAATAATCGACAGCTCTTCGTTGATAAAAAAAACCATAATCATTAATTGTAATTCACCTTCACTCTAGAGGAGAAATCTAAATTCGCATTGTTTTGTCAAAACAAAAAAAAAATCAAACAAAAATCTCGATAATTTCCGTTAAGTATTCAATTTGGGAAAGCTCACTGATTGTAGCCTTTGCACTGAATGATTTCGGGTGCTAAGTATTCTGGCGTTCCCATGAAGGTCTTCGTTTTGTAGGCACCGATCTTCTTGCTGGATCCGAGATCAGTCTACAGAATGGGAAACGTACAAATTAGCGAAATGTTACCAATAATTGGTTTACAATTCAAATAAAAAGACTCGCAATCTTAGTATAGCCGCTAATGTCGATCACGATATTCTCAGGCTTCAAATCCCTGTAGACGATGCCCAGTGAATGGAGATAGTGGAGACCTTCAACCACGCAGGCGACGATGAATTTGGCGGATGAATTGTCGTAACGGCCATTTCTATTCAAGGCAGTCCTTAAGTCGCCGCCAAGGCATACCTCCATCAAGAAATACAGATACCTTTTGTCTTTGAAGGTCCTGAATAACCTGAAAGAATCCTAAACTGATAGAACCTAATCCCAAAGTCTCGTATATTATGAAGCTGCTTATTCCGTCGTCACTTTTCTTTCACTCTTTCTAAAATCTAATTTTTCTATCCTGTACCCTTTAAACTCACCTGGGAATGAATAGAGATTCGCACAGTTTCAAGTTCATCTTCTCGCTGTAAATCATCCTTTGATAGCCACCCTGCGTAATCATATGTTTCTTCACTTTCTTTCGAGCGAAACTTATCCCTGGAAACGATTTTACGGTCACCAGCTCCACACGACCGTATCCACCGGCCCCGAGTGTCCCTTCTACCTCCAAATCCGACAGAGTCAACTTTTTGAACTCCTCGCTCCAGTCGTCGAGATCTGTGAACTTCTGGTGTTTCAACCAGTTCTTCTTCGCGATTGATTCCAGTCCGCCGAGGTATGTCAGAAACGTCCTAACGTCGAAGACACAGTTGCGTTTAATGCAAGGCACAATGCAGTCGGGAGAATGTTCGCAAAAACTGATTAATTTACGATCTCTCTATGGTGTAGCACTCGGCTCCAGGAGGCATCGCGATCACGTTCGCATGACGAGAAGACTCCTCGTCGTACAGCGCTTTCTCACCGAAATACTCGTTTTTCTCAAGCATCGTTAGTTCCTGTTCTCCCCCCGGTTTGTTCTTCGTCACCTTCACGCTTCCGCCGCTCACGATGTAGAATTTGCTCCCAAATTCACCTTCACGTATTATGTAAACGTCCGCAGGATAAAATTCCTTGCGAAGAGAAAGCGGTTTCAAGATCGATTGCATTGGTGATTGCATTAATTAAGCTTTAAATGTCAATTTTGACGTTAAACGTAATAGAATAAGAAAAATTTATTCTTTACCACCACGATCAGGTCACAAATCTTTAGCAGAACCTCCTCCGCGAAGTCTTTAAATATCGGAATGCTGCGAAGCATTTGAAGATTGCGTTCCGTGGTCTGCTCACTGTCAACCGCCATTATCGTTCTGAACACGTTTCTGTCTAGCATCCAGACCTTCCCAACCGTGCTCGCTAAAGAGGAAATAGCTCATTAGAACTGCAAGGAATCCGAGGATCATATTTTCATTACCGTCAATGGAGCACAATCGTTTGGTGTCGTACAAGAGTGCCAATTCTCCGAAAGCGATACCGGGACCAAAGCTTCCGTGGTAAGTATCACCTACGTAGATCTCGAATGTGCCTTCCTCCGAGACGTACAGGTGAGATCCTGTCGCATGGAAACGATCAACGCGATCCAACAATAAACGATGCGTATTCATCGTCACTTACCAATGTCCCCTTCGTGAATGATCCGAGTGTTAGCTTTAACCTGTTTAGGGTACATCACCGAGATCAGGTTCTCGAGCTGCGTTTGAGTGAGGTTTCCCAAGAATTTGTTCTTCAGGATCGCGTCCCTGATCAGCTCCTTGGCCCTGGAAGTCGCGTCAAATATGAAGTTGAGTTGATTTACGCATAAACGTTAATCGTCTACTCCTCTGTTTACTTTTCGTCCTTCTCGACGGCTACGATGGGAGCATCACCGGACGCGTTCACATCACCAACTACACTAGGTTTTCGTTGATGAGATAACTCGTGGTAGCAGTCTTCGCTGTTGCGTCGACGAGAATCGGACAGGCGCATGTTGCGCTTGAAGATCTTTCTAAAGCACAGGTAATGCATCTTCGAGCCTTCGTTGTAACTCTCAATGAGCGACTCCTTCAGGGATAGTCCATCGGATTTGACAAGCACAAATCGCGAATGACGTCCGGCTATTATTTTCTTGCGATCAACGCGTTAAGAATTGATGGCGTACTGCCGTTTAATGCCAACTATTGCAATTCGTTCAATCTTATCTCCGATGAATCCTACTATGATTAATCGGTAATAACATCTGTAGTTGATAAATACGTTATCATTGACGGCTGATGTACAATCTAGCAATGCATTTTTCTTCCCAGTTATCGGGAAATCATTCATCTAGTTCATTGTGTGACAGGGTAATACCAATTGAACGTACATGTTAATTGTCACGTACACTGTCGAAGGATCCGCGAAGGATCATAGAATGAAACTCTACCATAGATTTCTTTTTTATTAACTCAAGTATAAATTTATTCTCAATTCAAGTAACATTGGAGGGTTATAAATATCGATATCGTCGCGGAGTATCATTCGGATTTCGATCGGCGTAAAAGTTTTCGATTACAGTTCATTTTTGTCTTGATGTAGGTCGGCTGAGGAGCTCGAACACAAAGCTGAATTGTTACATTCCATCGCGGTAATCAATTAGATATCGAATAATCGAGTAGTCGGCGAAGTTTTTTTATACGACTTCCGGTGGTCGACGCTGTTATCATTCAATTGACGGTTAAGGCACATTAGATTGCGTTGTACGATCGTTGTACGATCGCTCGTTAGAAGTCCACATCCCATCCAGAGGTCTCGTCGGGAGGAATATTACGTTCCGGCGGATACCTCTCGAAATTCCTCGTATCGACTTGGCTTCGCACCTGAAGAATTTAATCAACAATTATCTTGATTTTACAAGATTTCCTCTACGTAAGAAACGGACCGAAAGTTCACGTACCGTAGGAACGATCGGCGCTGGTAAAGCCAATCTTTGCAAGGCCTGCCAATTGAATCCATGGAACCATCTGTGAAGAGCAATTGAAAGATCGTCAAAGGAAAAGGAGACGCTGACATTTATTTGTTCATTCGATAAACCGACATGTTTACCGTGAATGTAATAATTGTGTACGCACTTGTGATCTCGAATATCCTGAATACCGTTTCTCTGGTAACCGAGACGTTCCGAGGGGTTCAAGCGAACAAGCTTCTTGATCAGATTGTTCGCATTTTTGGTGACAATGTTCGGTACACCGACCACGTCAATACCTTTCAGAATCTTGTTGTAAGTGGTCATGTGGTCCGTGCCTCGGAAAGGTGGTTTGCCGACCAGCAGCTCGTGAGTCAGTATTCCAAGGGCCCAGTAGTCCACCGCCCTTCACACGGATCAATTGTTTAGCTACCGTTAAGATTGGGTACATCATGAGGATCGCTTACCTGTCGTGTCCTTTGTTCAATATAATTTCCGGCGCCACGTATTCAGGCGTGCCAGCGAAGGTCCAAGTCTTGGATGGTCCAATCTTTTTACTGAACCCGAAATCAACCTGGAAAAACATCTCGTCGATGAATGTTCTCATTGAAAACTTACGTTGAACTCACAAGCTTCAAGTATCCACGAGAGTCCAGCATAAGGTTCTCCGGTTTCAGATCCCGATAAACGATGTTCAACGAGTGAAGATGATCGAGAGCCTCCACCACGCATCCAACCATGAATTGCGCGGTCACGTCGTCGAAGTATCGCCTCTTCTGAAGCGCCGTCCACACGTCACCGCCGAGGCAAACTTCCATCAAGAAGTAAACGTATTTGCTGTCTTTGTACGTTTGGTAGAGTCTAGTTTCGAAGTAAGTGAAGTTACATTATAGTCAAGATGAATGCAACAGTGACATCTGATCCACTAACTTGCATATGAACGACGAATCGCAGGCCTGCATAATGTGTTTCTCGTTCAACACGTGTTCCTGTTGCTGTTGCTCGACCATCACCTTCTTCTTCAGCTTCTTCAACGCGAAGCTCTTCTCGTGGTCCGACTTCAGAGTGACCAGCTCGACTCTGCCGAATCCTCCTACCCCCAAAGTACCCCTCGTCTCTAAATCAGCCAGCGTGATATTCGAGTACTCGTGGGTCCAGTTCCTGGGCGTTAGGGACCTCTTCTGCTTCTCGTATTCCTCCACCCAGTCCTTGTTCCGTATCTCGTCGAGACCTCCCAGGTAGTTCAAGAAGGAACTGAGGTTCGTTTTGTGTCAAGGGAGGATCTAAGTGTGTCTGCTATTCGTTTATCAAAGTGAAGTTTGATTAGCGGAGACTTACGTTCGGTCCAGCGTCAGACACTCGACCCCAGGTGCGAGGGCTATGGCGTTCGCGTGCCGTCGATTGTCACCTTCGTCGTCGTAAAGAGCCTTCTCACCGAAGTACCGACCTTTCCCGAGCACCACCAACTCTTCTTCACCCCCGTACTCCGTGTTCTTCGTGATCCTGACGTTCCCTCCGCTGATTATGTAGAATTTGTCACCCTTCTCCCCTTGCGTCACGATCTTGGCACCGGAACAGAAGAATTCCTAGAAGAAAGGAGAGGGAAATGTACTTCTTAGACGTTTGGACTGTTAAGTTTCCAATGTTTTCGACTATTCTTCGGAAACCAGGACAATTACCACGCGTATCAGATCGGAGATCTTAGCGAGCAGATGATCCTTAGGTTCCGGCAGCTTCTGGAGAACGGAGACCTGCCGGAGGAACCGGACGTTGCCTTCCACCCTCTCCTGGGCTGTCCTCATCATGATAGTGAGGAACACGGATCTGTCGAGCACCCAGACCTTTCCACCTTTCTTCACTGAAAGTTAAATGTAATTCTGTTGGTATGAACATTGGGATGTTTCAAGAGACTTTCTAGAAGTCTCCTCCGAGAGACAGAATTGAGATCGATGTTATTTAAATTGGTATTTTCATGTAATTTACCACTGATGGAACGAAGTCGTTTCGTATTGTAAAGCAGAGCGATCTCTCCGAAGGCGACGCCTGGGCCGAAGCTTCTTTGGAACTTGTTGCCCTGATAGATGTCGAACTCACCCTCCGCCGAGACGTAAAGATGCGACCCTGAGGAGTTCGTTAAACAAAGAAATTAATGGTAAAGATATACCTAGATCGTACCTGGAAATGAATAGTAAATTTGTTACCTATGTCTCCTTCTCGAATCACCAATGTACTCGGTGGTATCTGCTTCGGGTACATCGCGGACACCACAGCCTCCACCTGATTCTCTTCAAGATTACCGAGGAACTCGTTCTCCAAAATGGCTCTCTTGATTTGTCGTCTGCTCCTGAAAAAGAAAGTTAATCTCTTTAGTGCATTGAAATCTTAATAAATCGATCCAAGGTTATATCTCTAGCTTGTTCGTCGAATAAAGTGTATAGAACATGGTTATTGTCCTGGATAGTCAGTTTAAAGGCACGAACGTAGCAAAATTAGGCGTAGCTGATCATTCTACACGATTTATTCTAATTTAACGATCTCCGTTCTTGAACATACTTGGTGTCCTTGTCGTAAACGGGGGTTGGCGCAGAGGGTGGCGTCGGTGTTCTGCCGATAACGCCGCCCCTGGGGTTGTTGACTGGCTGATCAGAGTCATTTAGATTGCTGTGATCCTCTTGATCGGTTTCTGGGTGCGTGGGAAGAGGACTGGGGCTTCGTTGGGGTGGAGGCGGTGCTTTGCTTTTGCCACCGGAGTTTAGGGGTGGTCCCGTACCATTAGTCACAGTGGCGGTAGGTAAAGGACGTATCTAAACGATTCAATTCTCGTTTTACACTTCATCGTACAATTAACAAAACAAACCTAAACCGTACAAACGAATGTTCAATCTCCAAAGATTCTACAATTACCAAGAATAATATTCGCGTGGTCACTTACCACGCCATGGCTCAGATCTGGTTCCCCAGGTTGCTTATAGCTGGACACCACTGGACTCTTCGTACTTCCGTTCTGCGAAGGTAGCAGAAACATTTCACACGTGTATTAATGCCATTGATATACAAAGTAAAACTAAAGCCACCACTTAATAGACTTCTACTGTGATTTTCATTGCACGTCGACGCTCTAACAGCACCGACAGCTTTTTATTGGACGTCTACCTTCTCAAGACTCCAGATGAAAGCAAGTTTCTAGATGATACTCGTGTTTATTAAATAACACGGATGAATCCGCGCCTATCTCTACAAGAAAGTGACAAATTCGAGTACTCACTATACTGATACCAACGACGTTGTTCGACTCGTCATTCCTAGGCAGAGGGGCGAGATTGATGCTACCCCTCTGTCCCATGATGTTCGGCCTCGGGAAACACGAGAACCTCATCGCGTAGTCCTCGTCCTGTTCATGTCGCAGGCAGACTCGTTTCACACCTGAAAACCGACGCGAGAGAAACGTTCCTTGAAATCTTTCTCCTGTTCGCCTTTTCTTTTCTTTTATTCTCTTCGTTTCTGGTTGCACGCGATTACGATCGATTCCGTTGGAAAAGAACGAGTCGCGCGCAGTACGATTGTAAATATTTCCCCGTCGACGGCGCGACGACGATCGAGGGGGCTTCTTTATCTGATTCGAATTCCTTGCTCGCCGATCGCTCGTCATGTTAATTAAGATAACGTACAATCCACTTATCGGTCCTCGTCCAACCAAGCCAAGCCAAGCCAAGCCAAGCCGAGCCGAGCTGAGCCGAGCTGAGCTGAGCCGAGCCGAGTCGAGCTGAGCGCCAGAAACGGAATTACTTTATTGCGTTCTTTATTATGACGAAAATCGCGAACCGAGCGCAAATATTTGTCCCGGGGCTCTCGGCGCTCGTGCAACGCATCGTAATCGCCTCGGATCACTTACGGGGCCGACTCTCTTGCGACAGGATCCTTGCACCGAATATATCTCCGTTCTTCTATGCTCGTCGGTTTCCTCTTTTTCCTTCGGGGCGGGCAGCTCGGGATCGTCGAATCGCGAGAAACGCCGTAAACGGAAGTTCCGTGCGAGCACGTGGCACACGCTGGTCACATGCTTATGCTAATGACGTCCAGTGCACGATATACGTGTATATCGGACGCTTACGTCACAATACATTAGCACTTTATTACGGTAAGGACGTATCCTCGTTTTCGACTGCGCCCGAGGTTGCCGTCTTATCCTCGATCGCGTTAGACCGATCCTCAGGACCGAC